TTTGGAATTTCCAAAGTAACATACCACACTTCATTTAGTATTCATTGGTATTCTTTCCCTAACAGTAAGAACTGAATACTCAGACAATAGTAACTTCCTTTTACTTAAATGTCCCTTGTCTTTTTGAATCTGTGATGTGAGAGAGGGATCTTTGTCAAGACACATTCCTATTAGATTGGATGCCTCAATATTCTCATCATAAAACTGCAAGTTGAAAATTATGATCTCACGCAATCTCTAAATAACAGGAAACAGCTATATAAAAGGTTCTTGTAATTTAGAAAAGATTTCAGTAGGCTTAGGCTTTACTGAAATAAAGCTTTTCTTTCTGGAAACCAGGTTTAGATTAATACTCTACTGGCACATGATTTTAAACACATTGGGATGAGGTAGTCCTGAGTACATTTGTTTTAAGGGCATAACCAAAACTTTGCTTCATAGTTATCAAGATGGTAAGACCATGAACAGCACATTTAGATTACCAGGCAAGCAGAGTATCAGAAAAATTCTTTCTATGCAAGAAGTTTTGTTCAAAGATTTGGCCTAACTGCTTTCATTCACTTCTTAATAACCAACTCTGCAGGTCACAACCACATCTACTTTCAATGTAGAATGTCACTCATGAAGCAAACTTTAAAATGTGAATACCCTTTCCACACAATACATAAAATCTATTTGGGGATGGAAAATGCATACAAAAACAAAACAAAACAAAACCAAAAAAACAAAAAAACCAAAAAAAAAAAAAAAAACAACAACAAAAAAACCCACTTGTTTTATACCAAAACTCAAAAGTCAAATCTCTACAAATAAAATCTCTTATCAATATAGTAACACAACCTCCCATATTTGACTTCAGAAAACACCATTACTTTTTCATCGTTACTAACTTTCTCATATTCAATGTGAAAGGAAGATAAGAATACAACACTGATCTATGCAAATAGTGGCAAAGACCTAGAAAAAGATTCTATACCATCATAAACCAGAAACCTACACTTAATATTTCTTTCTGATTGGGTTGAGGAATTCTCATTAAGCATCTTCACAGGATTTAATCCAGCATTTCTCTACTTCTACACTTTTCTTATTTTAAAATCCTGGGTACTTACCAGATTTTGCAATCACTAAAGAGGACAAGATTACTCAGCTAAAAGTTACTGATAATGAATTAAAATTTACGAAAGAAACCAGTAAGAAACTAGGGAAATTGAAAATACTGCGTTGTTTTTTGAACAAAAATCCAAGTCATAGTACCCAATAAATTCTATCACATGATTAGAAAATTAACATATATATTTTTTAATTTAAACAATTTTAACAAATCAAGGCTCTTCATTTAGGATTTCAAGCATATACATACTTACACACTCACCTGAATAACAGGAGACAGCTGGCAACCGGTAAGATTGCTTATGAAGCCTTAACCCCAGAAAAAGAACTAGTTAACTAAGGAATACTGAGAGTGGGAGAGAAATCTTCCAGAGGGAAAAATGTGCCCCAGTTGGCTTTCCAGTATCAAGTGGTCAGCCCTGAAATCACATACACATAAGTAAAATTTGTGGACTAAGTAGGCTGTATGTATATGTTTAGGAACACAATTTAAAAAAAGAAGCCATAAATTTGAGAGAGAGAGAGGTACATGGAAGGTACTGGTGGGAGGAAAGGGAGAGGGAAAAGTTGTGATTTTAATAGCTAAAAAAAAAAAAAAAATTAGATACCTGAACATGGATTGTTGCTTCTTATCCCCAAGAGACCTGTAAGGTCTCAGAAATAGATGAAAACTGAGTGTATACAGGAATCTCTGGTGAAGGAGGCCGAGACCAAAAGTAAAATCAGACACTGCCCTCCATTCTTAGACTTGTCCCTTATCTTGCTAACTACCAAGGACAGAAATGAACAGACTCCTCAAATGATAACCTACGAGGCCAATATAAAAATCCTTTCTTTCTCATGCTTCAGAGATTCGCATTACTTATTTTAGAGAAATATTCATGTCAGAAACTCTAGCTTTTCCCTATCAATAGATGGATGGGACCACTCTGAAGATGTTGAAGAAGTTGGAAAAAAAAACTAAGTATTACAAAGTTAAAATGTTCATGTTCACCAGTAAAACCGGAGTCCGCAATGATAATCAGCAACCCACAACTCTTAGAACTTGTAGAATGTCAATATTACAGAAACGATGACTGTGTTCGGAATTTGTCCAAGAAGCATTAAATTTTTATCCAGGTCAAAGTTTCTCTTTATAAGTTAACAAGGCATACAAGTTCATTAAGAATTTGGATAAACATAGCAGAAAGAAAACGTTTTCACAAAAAGTATGGCAACGTAACAAAAAGAGAGAGCAGCAGAAGTTGTGTAAAAGGGATGCACGGAGGAGCACAGTTGCACACGACTCAGGGTACCCCTGCATCCCCAAGCTCAGCCGTTCAGAGATCACGGCAGAAGGCAGGAAAGTGTGGAAAGACTGGTACTTAGCAACTTGCCCTTGAGAAGGACGACTCCTCGGGGAGGGCACGGCACAGAGAGCAACTCATGAAACGAGTATGTGGATCATCATCAAGCCTACACCGGGGTATCTGAATCAGATTCGGAGAATTTTGAATTGCAGGACTGTGAAACGTTTTGGTGTTAATTGAAAATTTTCAAATGAAGTATGATGATTTTGTTAGAGTGCTGGAAATCTAGACGCAGTTCATTCACATAAGGTGTTAACAGAGCGTAACAAGTCCCTATGAATAAAAACTAAAACCATCAAAGGTTAGTGAAATGCAGGAGGAGCTCTAAGAAACAAACAAGGAGGAGTGAGAGTGTGGAAATGTGAGCAGGGACCAGGAGTCCTCAGCTTGCTCTTAGAAAACAATGGAAATGGAAAAAAAAAATCTAAGTAAGAAATAAGCAACAGGTCAAGAAAATTTAGAAAATTTAATAAGAAATCATACTTCCCCAGTCATCAGACAGAACTCAGAATTCAAAGTCTGAGCTATAAAATCTCTGAAATGGATGAAGTATTAATGAAGGAAAACATAAGGGCTGTTACCTGGGAAAATTGGGAATCAGAACCTCATCAAATGAACTGAGGAAGACTACAGATACCTGAAGGAGGTCAATACACAATTTCTCAATGAAACACAGCACAGCTTGGCCAAAACCAAACTCTTGTAAATTCTGCAGGTACTTAGGACCCAACAGCTGTTTTCTTTTACAAGAAAATTCGGTGACTGCCTCTTGGGGCTGGCCACCAATCCTTGAATGAGAATGACCAGAGGAGCAGCTCAAGAGCATTTTCAGAATGTAAGAGAAAATCATCTTTCCCCAATGTCTAATCTGCAAACAGAACTCTAAAAACCAAGTCAGGAATAGTCAAATAAAACTAAAACAGAAAAATATGAGCATCTATCTGGAAAGATTAGAGAGTATAAACTCATTAGCACATAGCAGCAAAAGTCTAACAAGGGCAGAGATGTGGACATTGAGAAGCATTCTGAGGAAATGAAACACAAGAGATGACCAGGCACATGCCTGGCCACGTTCCTAAGTGGTCTACTGTCAGAAAGCTTTGAACACAGTTTGGAACTCAAACGTCTACCATCTAGCAACTAACATTCTAACATCTGGACAGCTATTGGCTCACAGTCATGCTAGCTTCTACTTTGGGTTTCAGGTTTTTCAGGTTTCTGATATAATTCTTGTTTTTACTTTGGTGATGTACAAGTTGTTCAGTTAAGTTACTCATTTTAAGTCACACACACAATAGTACTTTGATAAAGACAAATTTCTTACATTTTTAAAGTTCTAGAGCTCTCATTTTTAAGTGAGAGCCTTTCTTTAAATTTCATAAATGTACTACATTTTAACTTTCTTTTAAAAGCTGTATCTACGCTACATTTTGGGAAAAAATGTCCATGATTAGAGGAAAAGCTTTTGATTAGCTTCTATATGGCTTTTAATTTGGCTGCAACTCATAGTACTTTAGAAAACTCACACAACAAGTTCATTCATGAACCAGAGAGGAATACTTTATATGACATTATATAAACCTGTAAGTGCAATGTCCAAATTCTGCTTTCACTTAAACTCTTAGTACTTTCTTAAATAAGAAAATAACATTGTTACTTTACTTACCATGATTCATGTCAGTTTTTGTAAAATATGGTCATTGTGTTTTTAGGATTTTATTTATTAGCAGTAAAATTGTTTCATCAAGCAAGTATTTGAGCGTTCAGTTCCTGTGTCTCCCAAAGTTGCCTCCACATGAAGGACCGATGGTTAAAATGCAGTGACACCAATAGCAATTGAATATTAACTACCACGAAGAATAAGTAATACTTTTTCTATCCAGAATTTCACGTAAAATTCCACACTATTCCATGTCGGTAGTTGTAAGACTCAAGTTTTAAGTATCCATTTCTGGGTATCTAAAACTAACTGCAACGATAAGAAAACAGCTGAATTATGCTTAACTCAAATGTGGTATGTCTAGTGTTTAACTATCATTTTTTTCACCCAGAATAAATTGTAAAAAATATTTATTTGAACAAAATAAAAAAGCAAACAGAAAAAGTGTTCATGTACATATGCTGTTATTAAAATATCCATTTCATTCAGTGAAAAGGAAAGGTGAAAAAATGTTAAGTGTGTCATTATGGAACTAGATTTACATTTACAAATCGAATTTTTAAAAAGTACAAACATAAAACAAAAGATTAATGCTTGTATTACCCAAATTTAGACACATTCTTTAGAAAAAAAAAATCAAAAAGCAAAGTTATATTGTCATATTTGGTTTCTATTTCTACTTTTTGGCAGAAACAGTTTATTATTTTTGTTATTATTCATTGTTTAATGCAATTCAGTCTCACAGTTGAAAAAGAAAGTTTAAGCACCAAAATTACAAATTCTCCTAAATTAAATGACAGGTGAGGCAAAAAAGTGATTAGTCTTTACCGCTGCACTTTTCAACTCTAATAAGGACATAATGCTGCCAACAAATCTCAAGCAGCTAAGAATCTACCTTTAATGCCCAAGGACACCTCTCCCCAGGCTGACCACCATTACCTAGGAAATAGGAACCAGTAACCACAAAGCACTCTCAAAACAATGTAGGAGGAGAAGACACAGTTGATTAACATCACTAACCATTTCAGCTAACCAATGCCAGAATTTATCTGGATGAATCACATATATCTCTGCCTCTGTAATTTATTTCTAAATACTGACAGTGTATGTTCATTTCTTTAAGGTCAGCACATTAAGTGAATATGGTAGAAATCAATTTGAAAACTGTAGGCTATTCACTATTTTATTCCTACGCTTGATCTTTACAAAAACACACAACTCTTACATTCTGACAGAGAAATATGTGAAGCAAAACTGTGGCAACATTTCAAAAAGATTATCAACCAAGACAGGTTTCTGCTTGATGGTACTTACAAATTTTCACATGTCTCAAAACAATGCCAATACATTTTTACAGACTTACATAGTTCATTATATGAACATTTTAAAGGCCCCTCAAAAAGTCAAACCCTTTGTATTCTGAATATTTGAAGTTTATTCAAACAATATGCCAAATTCAAACTTATAGTGAGGTATATTTTCTTTTCAAACATTACTTAGGAAAATATAAAACACCATGAAAATTTTCAAGTTAAATTCATAGGCTTGCTTTGTTTTTACTTAATCTGTCATCTAGTACATTGTGCTATGAGTCCTCAGATCTGCAATTTAATGAAAAAGAACTGACATAATCATTTTCAGCATAAGAATAGTAATAAAAGAGAATGAAAACATTTTTGTGAGTTGTTTTAAAAGCATGAAGTCATTATTGTGCCTTTATGTAAGTACTGGAGATCACATATGATCAATAATTATTTTTAAAAAAAGTATCAGAAAAACTTTATAACAATCTTATGGCAGTGTTTAAACAACTGAATGTGTTCTGTGGAAAAAATATCTATGCGGGAAAAATTTGAATCAAAGTTTTGCTTTTGATAATATGGACTTCAACCCACAGAAAACATACAGAATTAATCTTTTGGTGAAATTCTTTTTAGTTTGAGAAGCAAAAATTTTTAGAACTTAAATATGCACACCATTAAAATTACTAATTTGAAAAATTATGCAGATAAAGATTTAGATTACCCTGTCTAGCAATGTTCCAACAATTTCACACATTTCAAATATTAAGGCAACTTTTTTCCAACAGTACATTATAAAAATAGATGTCACTGCAAAACAGTATGTACATAGTGACAATAAATTTAGCTAGTTGTCGTCTTTAATACATTAATAAAGTGTCACATATTACAAAGAACTCACAGCAGGTGCTTGCATGTTTGTGCAAGTAAATACAGTTTTAAAGCACGGGTTTTAAAACTGAGCGCAGTGATCGTCCTTCTTTAGTAAGCTCACGAGTCACACACATGCATGGCAAAGGGATTGCTTCCTCCCGTTTCTCTACAACATTGTAACTGCAAGTCTTCAAGTGGTCAGCCATGCTTAGGATGTCAGCAAATTTCCATTCATTAACAGAACAAAATGCAGTACTGAATCGCCACACCTAGAAGAAAACTCTCCTTTAGATTTAAACAGTCCAATCAGCACAAAACCAGAATGCCCTCCCTTCGTGCCCTGCTCTAGCTGCTGTCCTTCCTTCTTTTCTATTGCTAGAGAAACATGAAATAGCAAGTTTCAAATAGCTACAAAACTCAAAAGGAATAAATCCCCTGTTATTCATGCTTGTCAAAAGTGGCAGGTCCCCTTCCTCCCATAAACTACTAAAACCATCTCTAGTTACTGAGAACACCAAAACAATGTAGGCGTCGTGTAGTAATACTGCATTGTTTGGGAAATAATGAATAGTGTGTGTTCAGTGCATTTGTTCCTAAATATTTTTTTATCTGCAGTTGGATTAATCCATATGACTTGGAAGCTGCAAAGACAGAGGCCAGCTCCACAAGGCAAACAGCAGATACTTCAGAAAGCGGCAGTACTGGGTGAGGGCAGCGTTCATAACCATTTCTCAAGAGGGCAATAGCTTCCAAAGTAGCCACATGCCCTAACATTCTGTGACAAAAGAATTTTTCAGCTGACAAGAACAACCATCACTGTTGCCAGGCTGGTGGCACAGGCCTGTAGCTACCCAGGGGATGAGCCAGGAGGGCAACAAATTCAAGTCCTGCCTGGACTTTGGAGTGAATTCTAGGCCAGTCTGGGCAGTTTAATGAAAGCCTCTATTACAATAAAAAGAAAGAAAGAAAGAAAGAAAGAGAGAGAGAGAGAGAGAGAGAGAGAGAAAGAAAGAAAGAAAGAGAGAGAGAGAGAGAGAGAGAAAGAAAGAAATAAGAGCGCTGAGAATCAGCTAAATAGAAATATTTGTATAATACATGGATACCCCTAGGTTCAACCCCCAGTGAGTACCCCCCCAATAAATAAATAAATAAATAAATAAATAAATAAATAAATACCTGACAAGTTACTGTTCCTTTTGTAAAGCAGAGGCAATGATAGGTTAATGAAAGTACTGTAAAAATACATGCTACTTAGCACACTGCAGGTGTTTAAGTGTGGATAACAGAGAGACATATCCAACAGCTTTAAGACAAGGAGAACGTTAGAAATGTAAGTGAATGTGTGTGACTAGAGTATGAAGTGTCAGGAGGAAAATGAAGAGGTTAGGACAAGACTATGAGGTACTTTAAATGTTTCATTAAGGGGCTGGCTTCTATCTCTGAGGCAATGGATATATATTGAATAAGTTTTAAGCACTGCAACAACTATAATAAATGTACTTAAAAATACGTAATTCTAATTTTTATATAGAGAAAATAACCCAAAGCTCTGGTAGTAATCCAGAAACAATCCTGAGAGGTATGAAAAAAGACCAATCAACTAGAATAAAGAATCGACACTAACTCCCAAAGCCCTGGTTTAGGCAGCTTAGTAAACAAAGATGCTACTTCTAGAGATTAAATGGGTAGAGGGGCAGAGTAAGCTGGACGTGTTGAATCTGGGGAAACAGATAATCAAACAGACATGGTCAGTAGATGCTTGCATACCATGGTTTAAGCTCAATACAGAAAACAGGAGCATACTGATTTAGAATCTGTATAAATAATAGCAATTTAATCTTCAAGACTAAATCTCTATAGAAATTTACACTATCAGAAAATATTTCATTCCATACATAAATACTAGTGGCTAAGGGCAAAAACAATTATAGTACCTTATTCTAAAGGATAGAGATGCCCCAATCATATAGAAAATAAAAAATACACATATGTAGCTAGCTGAGGAAACTTTATGCCACCAGAACTCCCTTTTGGGGAAAGAAAACAGAGAAGCAGACACAGAGTTTTTAAAAGACTAGAGCAACGAGTAAAGACAAAACTTAAGGGCCAAGAATAAATTTACATGGAACTGATGCTATGCAGGCAAATGTTTTTTATCCAAGTTGTTATGCAAAGATTAATATTATGTGCTGTGGAATACTTTAATTAGGCAAAGATACATTGCATTTGCTATGCTGTGGAATATTAAACTGTAAAGGTGTGTTACATTTGTTTATGCTGCGTTTGTTTAATGACATAAAGATGTGTTGCATCTGTTTCACCTTGCCTACTTAGGGCATCTGATTGGGCTAATAAAAATCTGAACAGCAGGGGAGGGAGGGGCGGGTGGGGCTGGCAGGCAGAGAGAATGAGGAGAAATCTAGGCTCAAGAGAGAGAATGAGGGAGAAAAAGAGGGACACAGCCAACAGCCAGCCAGACTTGAGAAATAGTGAATGTACGATATCGTACGATATACAGAAGGAAAGGTTAAAAAAAAAAAAAAAAAAAAAAACCCCAAAGGCAAAAGGTAAAGAGAAACAGGTTAAATTTCGTTAAAAGAGCTAGACACAAACAAGCCTAAGCTAGGCCAAGCATTCATACCTAATAAGAAGTCTCCATATCATGATTTGGTTGCTGGTTGGTGGCCCAAATGAAAAAGTTTGGTGTAATTATGGGTCTCTAATCATAGACACCTGTGACTGTCTTGGATAACAGCTCCCGAGAGGCTACTCGAAAGCAGAGCGTAAATAAAATTTAAGTCTGCCTAAATTTCCTGATCGATTTTCTAAATACTCACCCCCTTCCCCTCCAGGAAATCCAGTGTCTCCAAACACAGTATCGTATTCACCTCACTTCAACCTCACTCGCCCATGAAGGCTACCACCTACGCAGTTTGTTGGTCAATTATTAGAATGAATGTAGTAACAGATGTATGTATGTATGTATGTATGTATATTTTCTCATCCTGAAAAAGACACTATTAAGAATGGAGACAATTGAAGGCCAAAGGGAACCCTCTCCAAGGTTCCTCAGCTGTCTTATGGTGACAATGTTTCAGACAAAATTAGATGACTGGTAGTTACATGCGCACAAAGTTGTTAGGGAAGAACTGAAGGGAAACTCGTTGTCTGAAGACAGAAATACTAGAATAGAATTTAGATCCAAGAAATCTATGACATCCTAGTGGCTGTGACTAAGAAGTCTAACTACTTTAGTCCTTTATTATCACTTGTCATCATAGTGACTTAGTACATTATAGGATATGGTCACATTTTCAAAACGTTATTAGACATAGCATTAGCAAGTGCCTACTTTGTGTTAAGAGTGGTTAATAAGTTGAAATTAAACTAACCTTTTCTTTTATCTGCCATGATGAATTTCCTTCTGGATACTTCTTTTTCCCCCACTGCAATACTACCATTCCACGGGACTGAAGAAGGCTGGCACACACATCCCTCATTAGCCTGGACACACATGCAAGCTGGCATAAACTGAAGCCATCGAGAAAGCCTGCAATGTGTTGCAGTACCTCAAATGGGAGACTACTTAGATGGTCACTGCGTAATCCCAACACACAGTTTCTAGAAGGCTCTTCTAATACTGTAGATACACACGGCTGAACTCCAAATGACCTTAAATGGCGGTCATGTATAATCTTTGCTCCTTGTGTTGATGGACAAAATCTACGTTGAGAATAGGTACAACCATAGTAAGCCAAAGGACACCTCTGTTCCATCCACCCATTGAGTCCAGCATGAATGTCACCATGTACATTCTTAAAATGGGAAGAAAATTCTTTTCTTCTGAATAACTGTCCACATACAAAGGTAAACATTGAACGCTGCTTGGGCTGGTACCTAGCAACACATTCCAAAACTAAATCCAGCCCAAGTGTCTGAAAAGGGCTTGGATTTGAAAGCTGTGGATTGGCATGATCACACGCTGAAGCTGAAGCTATTTCCCCAACCATTGTATTTGTAGCTAATATTGCAGATGGAAGTGAGAAAGTCTGTGTCCCAAAGTCAATGTGATAAACATCAACCATGCGGCTATCGGATATACCCCTCCCACCTGGAGAATCTCCCAGACAAAAGAGTAATGCTGCTGTAATCAGGTCTATTCCTTGGAGGTCCATGGGATCTTCTGCAACTTCTAAATCCGACGTGTCAACTGCTTTGTCTTCCTTTGGTATATACCATGAATTAGAAAGAAACTTAAACGAAGGAGCATGACTGAACAGTGAGCCATCAACATCCTTCACATCCCCTAAGTCTGCCTTTTCCCCACACAAGTCCTCATCATCATCTTCATCTGGCATGAGGCTATGCTGAAATGTGCTATCCGGCAAAGCACTGAAAGGCATTATTTCCCTCAGTTGTGCTGCTACAACAAGTGAACTGGAAGGTTCTGAAGTACCATCTGCTGCTGCACACTCTCCGTTTTCCATGTTACTGTCTATAGAGTCACCAGGAAAATTTTGATCCTGACCTTTGATCTGTGAACACATACTTTCCAAAGGAAAGCCATTACAAAGAGCAGCAGTACCAAAAGAACTTGCATTTAAGTCACACAGTAAATCACTTGACCCATTTTGTTCAGACTGAGCATTCTGGCTTATGCCATGATGGTCAGCTCCACCTACTGCCCCCATCTCCTCCTCATGAAGGTGGTCCTGGCCTTTTAAGTTTCTTTCCTGGAAGCTGTCTCTGTTTTTCTCATCCATCTCATCTGTGGTAGCAGAAAGACTTGCATTTAACATACCAATGTCTCTTGTGGCAGAATTCAGGATATCTAAAGCAGCAGCCAAACTTCTAGTTGTTTCTACGGTGGCTTGATAAAGTGCACCATATGATTCTTCATCAACAGATACCAACCCATTAGTACATGGTATTTCCTGAACGCTTGATTTCACTGAAATTTGTTCTCTGGGTGCAGATATTTTATCAGTTGCTTTTGACATCATGGTGGCAACTTTGAGAGATTCCAAAAGCATTCTTTGATCCTGAAGAGCTAAGGCCATGTCTAATTGTGCCACTTCATCAACATCTCTGCTTAGGTTTTCATACGATTTCCGGTCTGCGTAACTAACTGGCCATCGGTTCCACTCCATAGTACAGCACACCACACTTGCGGGGCACATTTCTAGATGTTCAGCAACTTTATTTCGTGCCATGGTAAATGGACATCCAAAGTTACTATTTAAGCAAGGTATTCGTTCAAAGGGACACAAGAGTCGATGCTCATCGGCTTTACAAGCATGGAAAACTGCTCCACAAACCAATGGACAACCAATCAAGTCACAGGCAATCCCAGGCTCTGGTCTGGTCATACACCGTCTACTGACACAATTCACACAGTGTGAGTGCTGCTCTACCTCGTCTTCCATAATGGCCAGTCCAGCTCTAGTTTTTGAAACAGAAAAAGGTAAAGTCATTAGACAAAAAATGAAACATGGTTGATTATTTTTCAAAACCAAATCACAGATATATTTTCGGTTATTCTTGAGAATGAAAGATGTAAAGTACATACAAACATTTAAGTGGTTAATTAGATAGATAATTAATACATCTTAAAGCAACTTAAGCACTTTTAGTAACAATCTAGTATTTTAAAATGTCAAAGTTTCAGATTTACACACTAGCTGACAATATGCAAAATAGTCATAGTATGGCTTCCAAATATAATATTCAAAATATGTTATAAAATAATTATAGTGTTTTTTAACTCCCAAATCCAGAGAACACTATAGATTTTTAGCTTTTACATTTCAATTAACTTGATTTTGTATGCTTCATTGCTGCCCCTCATCATGTTGCTGGGAATATATATATGTATGTACGTATGTATGTATGTATGTATGTATGTATGTATACATATATCACTTGTCATTCACTCTATTAAATATGAATTTTTTGCTATTACTAGGTACCAGGCACTGTACCTCTGGCAATATACAGGTAAATTAGTATCTCCTCTTAAAGGAGTTACAAGGGAAAGGCAAGTAGAAGCCAGAACTTGGTCATGTTATCTGGGTCACTACAACAGGAGGAAAATAATAGCACAGAGAAGATAATTAGCATAGAAAAGGATTAGGCAGGATAAACTAGTAAGAAACAGAAATTCTTTTCTGAAGTAACAGCAAATGAACAGAATATATCCAATCTTATTAATAGTAATGCATTACAGTGAAATACAAGGAAGTTGTGAGAAATGAGGCCAAAAGGGAATTGGGTCGATCATGAATGCTATATGCTAGTCTACAGAACTCAGTCTTTTGTAAGTGTAAGTCATTGGTAATTTTGAGGGTAGAGAAACAGTTACCTATGAAATAATGAGGGATTACAGACACTCATCTTTTTTTTTTAATTTTCTACTTATTCTTTACATTATGTCTCCACATCATGTCTCCAGATCTCACCTATCTCCTTCCCCCCAGCAAAAATAAAACAACATAAAAGTGAAGAGGAGAAAAGGGGGGAGAGAGAATCTTGTCATGGAAGCTGCAGGATGACACTGAGTGTCATGCAGCAAACCCTCCCATCCACAGATTTTTACAAGCAGGCAGTCATCCCAAAGAATCATCAATCTCGTTTGAGGCCCCTGGCCTCTGCTACACCATCGATGCTGGGCCTTAAGTAGGACTCTCCCTGGTCATTCTGCTGCTGCCCTCTGTATCGGAGATCTTGCAGCCCTGGGTCCTAGCCCCCATGCTCCAGGAGACCACAGATGAGCTGGATACTGGAGTGGGTCCACACGAAACCCTGGTTCTGGGCCTGGGTAGTTGAGGGGTTGCCCATCAGCTTACCCCTGTCCTCACCTCCAGGGTGAGCTCTCCTGCACAGCCAGGCTAATTCACCCTTTGCAGCAAGGAGGGAGGAGCGGGGCCTTTTCTCCCCCTTTCCCATCCTCAGGGTCGGTGGATTCTCCCACACCCACACCTTCAGGGCCAGCTCCGCTGTGCTGCACAGGGGATGTGTAGGAGTTCTCTCCCAGTGCTGAGCTCGTGAGGGGCAGGGCCAGCTCGTCCACCTGCCTCAGATGCTGGTGGGGGTGGGGGTGGGGAGGGCGCGCATCTCTCCACCTTTGCGGCCACCTAACAGATGAGTAACAGGGACAGCTCTCCATGTTCACTTGTCAGGCAAGCATCATCCATACCTTCACCAACAGAGTTGGCTCTACTGTGCTGCCCAGGCGAGACGCATGGCCTGCGCTCCTGGACACTCTCATCTCAAAACTGATTTTTTAATATTTAATATTTCATCATGTAGAATGTGTACCAAAAATAAGAGAAAGTGCAAAAATATTCTGATGTAATTATAACTAAGCTTATTTCATACATTTTTTTTTCTAAATTCTTTAACTGCTTCATTTGTTTCTATTAGCAGTGAAAACCTAAATAATTCCTGTCGTTAGCTATCATTCTTATTTCCTGGTCAAATTTTAAGAAAATCTTGTAGTTACATACCCGGCGGCCCTCTCTTGTCTTTATTTTACTACTCCACATTAAAACTTCCCTACAGAGACCCTCATCAATCTGAAGGGCTCTTTTCTTCTTTCCTCCCCCAGCTGCCATCACCTTTGCTGGACCATCAGGATTACTAACTCCTCTTGGACCGTTAACCTTCCTTTACCTGTGTTATCACACTTAACCAAGTTCCCTCCTACCTCTTTGGACATTTTCTCAAATATTACTTTTCTTCAGGATTTCATGTCATTCTTGTTCACACTACACATTCCTCTTGGGTGTGCTAGTTTTTTCCAACTTTCATTTACCATCCATAGGCAGAAAATTCATCTATACATCCTGCCTAAAAATCTTCCAAACTCCAGAGCTCTACAGCTATTATTTATCTCCATCTGTATTGCGGAGACAATTGGACCCAGTGTTTTCCAAAATAAATTACACTGTAGTGTAATCCAAATAAAAAGATCTGTAGCCTAGTTCTTCATTGGGTACTTAAGACTGCTAACTCTCTGACATGTATTTCCATAAATTCTAGCCTGGGTTTCAGGTGGGTAATCACTCCATAAATTGTTACAACTTTTTTCTTGGTTGAAGACTAACATTCCTCAAACAGGAATAGTAAAAACCCCGCTGTTATTAACAGAACTCTTCTTTATTAGTAGCAATGTCCTGAGTCGATATTTTGACGTTCAATGATACCATGGAACAATGTACACATTCAACAATAAATCGTTTTTAAATTGTATTTAAAAATAACAGAACAAGCTGAATACTTTCAAAATGTTTTCTCACAAATTCCATAGGCAAGAGTTGATTCCAAATTTAAACTACTTGTACTAAAAGAACAAGAGAGGAAATCAGAGATTAATTATGGTAAATATTTATAATTAAAGCAATGAAAATGTTTAATAAGAATTAAAACAAATCTTGCTGAGGGATTAGACTGTGAAAACAGCTGGAACTTTCTTATTTTGCAATAACAAGACTGAGTTTACCTCACATGCTAGAGGTTAAGCTTGACTGTTGCTAAGAGAGAAACCTAAAAATACAAGCAATTTCAACAGTGACCACCGCTGTTAGGACTTGCATGAGCAGTTTATGTGACTTTAAGTTATTGTACACACAGTCACATAACCACACCAGGCAGAGCACATCTTAAAAATATTACTTAATTCAAAGGTGTTTAAAATAATGACCACTGCAATTCTGACTAGCATTCAAAAACAGTAACAACTTGCAAAGATAGAAGGTTCTCAAGTTTCAAAGTAGCCTCTTCGTCATTACTCCCTTCTCAATAAAAATGTTAAAAAAAATTCAACCAAAAAGTATTTTATTACTTTTTGAAGTAGACTTTAAAAAAAGAAAGGAGTAATATTAATTGTATCACCTACTGTATCCTTCTTACCATAGTCAGTTTCCTACAACTCAGATAAAAATAGTGTTCAGAAGTAGTGATTTGCCCAAAGTCATTTATCTAGTGACAAGGTAGGTACACATTACCAATATTCATGTGGAATCTCAGACATGTTTACTTATACAAAGTCAGAGAATAGCTCTGACAACTGTTCATTAGATTTTAAGATATTATTTGAGGGATGACGATTACACAATTTTGCTTGTAGTTTATTCTAACACTTAATCACTCTTGTGGGTCAAAATGTTTTCATTCTTTGTAATTATTAAAGCACATTACTTTGTTTTGACCACAGGTTTTAAATATGAACATATGAAATAGAACGAATTAACCATTCTCAGCATATCTATACAAAGTAAAGTAGGAACCTAGACAAAGTCCATTTGATAGTCAAATATACCAAGAAATAAGAAAATAGAAGAATAGTCTTTCTAGGGAGAGAGAGTTGGCTTCAAACTTTAAAGCTCTTCCAGATCCATCCTCTTTCTAATCAAGGTCATTATTATAAAACTTAAAATGCCTTCATAGAGTATTTCAAATTGCTCATGAATCCTGTGAAACAGGGTTTAAAACTCCAGTCCTTGATTTCTCAGTTGAACAATGACACAGCAGGCCTAGGAGAAAACATGTTGCTAAAATTATGGCTTCAAGTTCAAGATGGACTTTGTTAAACTCAATGGGTCTTTAAAACATGCTAACATCAGTTTCTATTAAGTTACACTTGAAAGAATTACTGAAAGTTTCATTAGACTAAAAAATTATTTGTAAATGATGGAATGTTTTACAACAGTTTCCGTTTTCACTAACAGAGGCTGGTTGCCAACTCATAGTCTGTGGCTGACTAGCAATCCTTAAAAATAGTTTTAAGACATGGCATTTTCCCATACAGTGAGATGAGAGCTTACCTTGTAAGGCTCTGAGACAGTGTCCCAACTAGTTCTCAAAATTCACTAAAATACATAAGGATATAATACAACCATAAACTAGCACAATTTTAAAATATGCTCAGAAAAGTTGTTTAATAAAACTTGGGGCTGTGTCTAATGTCTACCAGTTTAAGACACACAGATGCACACACCTTCCCTCCTCACGCGCCATGTGTCTCAACTCTACTTTCAGCTTGTGACCCTCCCCCCTAGAATCCAAGGCAAGGCATGGAGCCCTTACAAAATGCACGATTATTACATGCTGGAGCTTAGGGCATTACTAGTGACAACTGAAAATGCAATCACTACTCTTTTTAATAACTAGTTCTATAGAAAACTATAATCTCCAAAAACACCAAAACTATATGTCTCATACATCCTTATGTTCCCTGAATTCAAAATTGTGCTTCAACTTGAGATTCAATCTCGTGAATACTTGAATGAAAGAATACATAAAAATAAATTCCCAAACAAACATTCTTGCTTTCTCGGAAAGTATACCATGACATAATAAAAACTTACATATCTAATTAGTTTAAAACAAAATATCTCCACCAGCCATACAAAGTTAATGGTGCCCAAACACTTCTTAAGTGCCTAGCTAATGTGTCCTAGGCTTCTTTATATAAAGATAAAACCAAAAAAAAAAAAAGCAAATCAATGGGAAAAAAAAACAAATCAAAGTAACTTCAATTTTCTACCTTTTTAAAGCATTAGAACTGAATATAGAGAAAAAAATAGCAGGCTTAAAAAGGGAAGACAATGGTTGTTGCTCAAACATGTACAGGTGAGCAGGGCACCAAGGAAATCTGCTCAAATCATGAAGCAGCATCAGCCTAGCCTGCAGCTTAGTACAACATTTACATACTAGAAGAAACAGACCTGTACTAAACATGTTTCAATACAAGGTCGATGTGAAAACAGTCTTGTCTAATTAATTATGATAAGGAAGTTCATCACCAAAATCAATAAATTAGCAATCAGTTATAAGTATCTCTGGGAAAATTTTACCTTTTATATATAGTCAGAGGTACCAGTACATAGCAAACAGAAACACTGAATAGCCCACTAAACAAATAGGTGTATTTAGTTTTGAAGATAACAAATCTATACCTCAATCATTATGTCTGTGTTTAAAGGGTGGAGATGGTATCCAGGTAGCTCAGCAGTAAAGTATTTGTCTAGCAGATACAATTGCTTAAGATTCTGTTTTGAACACAGCAAAAACAAAACACACAAACAACATAAAAGACTTAAAGCCATGGTGGTGGTGTAGATGGCTAGATATGATGAAAATAAAGATTATCACTAAATTCCCAACTCATAGCACACACCCCCAGTCCAAAGGTGTTCTAGTTTCATTATACTGCTGTGGTAACACGTAAAACACCTGGATCAAAAGCAACTTTAGGGAGGAAAAGGTTTGTTTCAGCTGATACTTCCAGGCCACAGTTTATCCAGGGAAGTCAGTGTAGGAACTAAGCGGAAACCATGATGGAATGTTCGCAGCTCTTCAGCTTGCTCTCTGTCTGATGCTCACCTAGCTTTCTTATATAGTCCAGGACCATCTATCAGCCTAGGGATGTAGCGCTCACAGAGGGCTGGACCCTCCCACATCAATTAACAATAAAGACCAGCCTTACAGGCCAGGTGATCTGGGGAACTCCTCAACCGAGGCTTCTCCTCTCAGATGATTCTAGGTTTTGTCAAGTTGACAACTGAGACCAAGAAAACAGATAAATGAGTTATGTTTTCTTTCAGTGAACTTTAATTCTGGCTTTAGAGAAAAATGAACTAATGATCTAGATATTTATTTTCATGTTCTTACCTATCTCTGCAAATGTAATATAATCAAAACATATATCTGACATTTCTAAACCCAGTCATGGTTAAAATTTTTAAAATAAGAGTTCTAACTACTCGCAATTTTCTCCACTAAATAAACAAACAAATGAAATGATCACAGACTGAGATCAGAAATTAAAATGTTAGAAAACATGTAATACTCAGTCAGGAACCTATTTGAATTAATACACAGATACAAACAGGTCTACCCAAATGGCAGGACTCCGGGAGTGGGCTTCTGAAAAGGCTCAGCCACTGATCTTGAGGCAATTATTCTACTTTGAAAACAATCAGGACTTCTGAAAAGCTAATCACAGCTAATCTGTGCCCAACAGTATATAAACATAGTCACCCCCAAATAGATGGACTCTGCCTTCCTCCACAGCCAGACTTACATACAACTATCTTTAAATATCACTTAAATGTTAAGGCTTATTAAATGTAGGTATATGAGGTTATGCAGCACTAACATTAAAACAGGGGAAAAAAACTTTTTGATTAAAAAAAAACCCTAGGTTATAATTATATTTAAAGTACATTCTATAGCTGAGTTATATTGTGTTTAATACTTTCCTTTTAGTTTGCATAATATACAAGCAACGACTTCAGCTTGAATCTCTATCTCATCACAATTAACATGAAATATTTACTCAGTCTTTTTAAGTTTTATCATTAAATATAACATAAATACAATGACATTCTCCAAGACCATGCCCAGCAAGAATGATTCCTTTTATAAAAATAAACACCAGTCTTAGAAACTTACTGAAAAGATTATCTAACAGTCACACCTTAGAAACATGCTATATCAAATAGTAAACACATTAACTAAAGCCTGTTTGAGCGACCTTAAAGTACCTTTCCAACCACACACCCAGCGCTAACAATTATTTTATGCAGTATTACTTTTTAAAGCACATTTTATTTAAGTGTGTTTTAAAGCAAATATATATATATATATATATATACACAACTCCCCGAACCTGAATCTAAATATTCAAAAACATTGGACTGAAATTAAACTGATACTACATAGGCAATCTTCAGTTTCTTATACCATTCATAAACAACTATTTCTAGAATCTCTCTCTCTCTCTCTCTCTCTCTCTCTCTCTCTCTCTCTCTCTCTCTCTCTCTCTCTCTCACACACACACGCTTATGTCACTAAATTATCAGGTACAAACTGGCAATCTAAGAAGTCAGCAAAACAGCATGTTGTCCCCACCTAAACTCCTACAGCACACACACACACAAAAACAGTGACTAAGCATAAAGGGGAGTGATTCAACGAAACTGTACTGGGAATGTATGCTTTAGAAAAAACCCAACAGGAACGCTCCGTGCTTTGCTTTTTGCCAGTCAACATGGGATTGTTTGGGGACACTTTAATACAGAAACGTGCAAAACCACGTTAATGTAACGTAACGTGCACGAAATCCAGCAAACAGGAAATGAAAAAAAAAAAAAAAAAAACCATCCAGAAACTTTTTGAGACTCCGTATCAAAAATGTTAACCCTCGCCGATACCCAGAATACCCTTAAATAACTTCATGTTGGATCACAGTCAACAAAGCAATCGTGGGAGAAAAGGTCAACTCCTTCCCAAGCATCGTTTTACCCGGGATTTACCGACGGGCTCAATAAAGGAAGAGAAGGAGAGCAGGAGAACCGCGGTAAACACGGGCCGCCATGGAGGTTAACAAAAAAGAAAAGAAAAAAGAAATGTATTCCCGGGTGACCCTGCATCCACCGTGCGTCCCACGTCCCAACCTGGGACTCGGTGAGCAGGACTCGAGAACTTGGGGGGGCAGATCCCTACGCCTCCCTTTAACCAGGGCCAAGGCTAAGCCCGGGCGCCTCTCACTTCCATGAATGGAAAAGTTACCAACTTCGCTCATCCCGTGGAGACAGTTGCCGATGCCTCGCAGTCCTTTTAACCCGTCCGTGCCCAGAGCAGCCAAGTTCAGTTCGTGCGAGCCAGAGCGGGGCGAGCGGGGCGAGCGCGGCTCCGCGGGGCACAGGGCGAGGGGGAGCTCACTCACCCGGGTGCGCGTCCCCGGGGGTCGGGGCGCCATGGGCCGGGCGCCTCCAGGGAGGGCCACACAATCACACACACTCACACACACACAGACACCCACAAGGCCGCCGGGCGCGGTCCCGCGTCCCCGCCGAGCAGGACAGCCCCGGGGCCGCGCCGATCCCACCGGGCCCGCCGCCCCCTCGGCCCGCGCCGCCGCGGCCGCTGACCCCGCGCCAGCCTCCCGCCGCCCCGCCACGCTCACCGGCCCGCGCGCCCGCAGCGCCGCTCAGGCCCCGGCTGCCCCGGCCGTCGCGCCCGGCGGCTCCGCACCGTCACCGTCACCGCACGGAGCCCGGCCGGTCCGAGGCCCCCGCGCCTCCGCCCCGGGCCGCACCGCCGCCTGCTCTCCTCGGCCTCCAACCGCCACCGCCCTCCTCGCGCGCCCCGCCCCCGGCCCCGCCCCGCCCCGCCCCCGGCCCCGCCCCCAGGCCGGGCAGCGCGCAGGCGGGCCCGCGCACGCACGGCCGGCGGGGGCGCGCGCGCTCCCTGCCCTCCGCCCCGCAGGGCGGGCCCCGGGAGCGCGCCGGACGGCGGGCGTCCTGCTAGGCGCGTGCCCGGCTCCCCGCGCCTCCCCCGCCCCGGTCGGCCGTCGGACCTCGCTTTCCTGGAAGGGATCGCGGGGCTCCGTGCAGGAGGGCGCAGGCACCGAGCAGCGCGAGCCGCCCCCCTCGCTCGCACTCGCAGGAAGTGGGTCGGCTCCCGGTCGTCGGTGGCAACTGCCGCCTCCTCACGTGCCCGAGCCCTGTGACTCGGTGAGCGCCCGGCGCTGTGACCCGTTTCCCCTTGTCCGGCTCTGCTGCCCGGCAGCCCGCGGAGCACGGCTTCCTTCCGTGGTCGCCCTGTGCTGCACGCACTGACACACACGCACACACACCACACGCACACACATACACACCACACACACATACACACAACAGACACACGCACATACCACACATACACACACACCACACACAACAGACATAGGCATGCACACACACCACACACACACACCAGTACCACACACACACATACACAACACACGCGCGCGCACACACACCATATATACACACACACGCAACAGACATACGCATGCACACACACCACACACACACACACCACATACCACACACACATACACACCACACATACACACAACAGACACACGCACATACCACACATACCACATACACCATATACACACACGCACACACACACAACAGACACACGCATGTACACACACGTCACCCTGTGCTACACACGCATGCACACACACGCGCGTACACACACACAAACACATGCACACACAGACACATGCACACACAACACACGCGCGCACACGTGGTCATCCTGTGCTACACACACGCACACACACGTGGTTACCCTGTGCTATGCACGTGCGCGCACACACACATGCACACACACATACACGCACACTCTCACATGTGGTCACCCTGTGCTACACACACCACACAAACACACACACACCACACACACACACACACAGTGCCTGTAGGCGTCCCCGTTACTACCGCCAGGCCCCGGTGTGAGAGGGAGTCTCAGTGATGTCACCGACGCCCACCCCGTCTGGGGGTCTCTTGCCCACTCCCACCCCAAAACCGTCGCGAAGGAAGCGTGGCCCTGGCTGGCGCTGGGCGGGGACGGGATAGAAAACACAGTTGTGTGGCCCTTCTGGTGACAGCATTTTTGCCCCAGCTGTTGGAAAGGATGGCTCGCATGACCCTCAGATTTTCCACCTGTAAGACCACACGTCTATATAACAGCAATAATGCAAAACCCTGGGGAACTGAGACCAATCACACCATAAAGGTCCTTGTTATGTATTTATTTATTTTAATAAAGAAATGTGGATTTTGAGAGCACTCAGTACGTTTATGTGTGGGGTACAGCTTTTTTTGTTGTTGTTGGGGGTATGATTTGGCTATAGGTAAGCTCTTGCCCTCAGCCCAGAGTGAGAATCAAATGGGCCAGGGTAAGAAAAGGGAGACAGGCAGGTGAAATGTTGGAAGACTTGCTTCTACTCTGCCCACAGTCATGACTGAGCCACACGCCCTTCCATTACATCCCCTTGTATAAAAATAAGGGGGCTGCAGTGGGCAATTCCAAAGCCTCTCTGCAGCTTCAACATCTTACTAAATGCTCGTATTCATTGTACTTGGGGGCTTTCTGCCTTTCTACGTCACCGAGTTGACACTAGATCACCTTCTCCCACCTTGAGCAGAGTGGAAGTCAATGCAAGCCAGAAGCCCCTGCCTTCCATGGTCGCAACCAGAGACTCGGGTTTCCTCAAAAACAAAACAGCAAACAGGAATCACATGTCTCTGCAGTATACGTGGAATCGATCTAGATCTGTGGAGCAAAGCTTCCATTTATGTGGCTTAAGCACCCACCCAAGGAAGCCACAGTACTGCAGCAATTTAAAGAAAAAACCCTAGGGGACAGGGCAATTGGTAAAGTTTTTGCTGAGCCAGCAGGAGAACCTGAGGTTCATCCCCAGCATCTGTGTAAAAAAAAGTCAGGTCTAGTAGCTCGAGGATTTAATACAGCGCTGGGGCTGTGGAAGCAGCTGGTTAGCAGTATGAGGCCCTTTCTCAAAAACAATAAGGTAGACGGTTCCTGAGGAATGGCACCCTGAGGTTGACCCTTGACTCCACATACATACACATAAACCCTGCACACAAGACTAGGTTGAAAGGGGTAGACATTTTCAGATAAATCTGAGTTGGCCAAACAAATCCTGAGAAATTGTTCTTCCATTTGTTCAGTGTCAAGGCTAACAGCATCGAAATTTAAACAGGTTTCCCTTGCCCAGTTAGCCCACCAGCCTGTGTTTGGGTAGCCTACAGCCAAAGCAATTGAAAAGTCAGGACTGAAGTTTAAGTCATGTACTAATTAAGGAAAGCATCATTGGCCAGAGACAAGTGTGAGTGGATAGGGCCAGATTTGCAGCTGTGAAGTCATGAGACACGAGACAATTACCAACTGGGACTGTGGTAGGGACTGCCATTCTTCACAAGCCAGTCTGAATCACCTAATTCCAGGACCTAAACTTTAACAGCTGCAATTATATTTCCAATACAAATTCATTCGAAGCAGGAAAAATACAATAGATAGCATCAAATTGTCTGGTGATTTAGATGAAACCTCCCAAGGACAAATTTTATAGCTCCAAGTTAAAAAAAAAAAAAAAGTAATCAGAAGAATTTAAATCCACCAGAAATGTTGGAAAATAGAAGATGTTAAGTTTAAAAAGCCCAGGTTACTGGAAACCCACCACCGCTGATACAATAAGACAATAGACCAAATAAATCCAGGTTTAATCTGAGCAAAGCATTCCTGGGTGGCCCCAGGAGAACAGAAAAACAGGAACCACAATATGAACCCAAAGCTTTTAATGCCCTCCAGTGGTGGAGCTTCCGATGGTGGGCTTTTTAGGGGTGGAGTCTGGCCTGCGGTGACCCCAGGTCTCCAATCATATAGTATAAATCTGTGCCTGTGTCTCTCAGTACATGCGTACAGTTGGTCCTGTTCGGTGTGCCATAACACAGTCCAAGACTAGAGTCGTGTGAGAATTCTGAGTGCTCGTGAGAAAGCTCTGACAAGTCTGTGACCTCGGTTTCTTCCAAGCATGGCATTGCTCTTGGGATGTGTTTTCATGTTCCTTCCCAGGTGTAGCGGACGTGAGTTTACCTCGTATTTCTCATTATTGCTTGCTGCTCTTAGCCAAGTAAATGTTTAAATTATCCTCTATGGAAAAACATGTTTTTTGCCATGTACAGCTTGCTGAGTGTATACAGCTTGAAACTCGTGAGAACTGTACTCTTGTGATCTTTCTTAACCCCCAGAGCATAAATTGTCTGATGCACTGAATAAAGTTGGCTATTGCATGAGACTTCGGTCCACCTCATGTGTCATTTCCATCCTCCCAGGCACCTCCACATCTAGAGCAGTCACGCTCTGTAGGATCCTGGAGTAAGATATCATCTACTGTGTAAACTATAATTAATAGAAATTCATTTCGCACAGTGAGAGGTGCTTCGGACTTCAAGATGCTACCCCTTGATATGTCCTCAACATGGGGGAAGGGAGAGGAAAGGAGACAAACGTTGTCATTACATAAGAGCTGGAAAGAAAAACAAAACAAAACAAAACAAACATTAAAGTGCCCTTTTGTAGGAGCTAAAGTTCCTGAGGGCAGAGACCTGTTGGCTTAATTACCTCCCCAGGATCAACTCAACTCTTAACACCATCACATCGAGGGTTAAGTTTCAGTGTGAGTTTTAGAAGTAAAATTGTTAAGAGTTGTTCCCCCACCCCCATCCCCACCACCACTGGTCAGGTCCCACAGCCACACCAGTCCCAAATAACACACAGAGACGCTGTATTAGGTATGATTCTTATGGCCAGGTACTAGTTTCTTATCAGCTAGCTCTGTCTTAAATATTAACCCATTTCTATTAATCCAAGTATTTCCATGTGGTCTCATCTTACCAGAGAAAGGGCCCTGCATACTACCCTGTAGGTCCTCCATCTTGAATCTCCTCCCTACTACTTCCTCTCTCCTCCTTGTCTCCTAGTCCCGCCTATCTTGCTTTTCTATTGGCCAACAGTGCTTTATTCATTAACCAATAAGAGAAACATATTTACAGAATGACATCTCCCATCATAAAATATATATTCTAATTATTGCATATAGGAATAATTTTCATTATTACTGAAATAAGGCATCTCTTGTGTTCCAGGAACGTAATCTACACCCCTGGAGTACATTACTGGTTTACCTCAGGAAGAGCAGAAGTAGGAAGAAAATTTGGTGTGACGTCATTGCTTTGATGCCGTTGGTGTTACATCATGCCTCTTAGATGGCATGAAACCATTGAAATGCTTTAACTTCCACACGGAAGGGGGTGTGATGAAGCTGGCAGTAGAGTCTACAAAAATGGCCTCTGACTGTCTTTTTACCTCTTTCCCACCCATTCCCAGCCATCACTATTTACATGTACCAAAACCTGAGTTCCTTCCTAGATGCTGATATTTTTCCAGGTCCTCTGGTTGGTATAACTCATTGCTAATAAGACAGTGGATCATCAATGAATCAGTTATTTAATAGTTTTCAGACTTTCGATGAGTTACCATTGTGTTGATCCTTTCTTTTGTGCGTATGCAATGGTATTTGTAGAAATAGTGTATTTATTTATAGGGCGGTCAGATATTTGATTGTCTACACTAGTGCTAAAAGAGACACACTTAAATTACCACAGCAACCCTAATATACAGAT